AAGAGACAAAACCAGTCTGTGGGCATCACAGCAGCTGCAGAAAACCACCACAGATTAACTGTAAGCAGCATATGTACCAATGGCAATGGGCACAGTCACTCCTGGCTCCTGGCACACTCCCATCGCAGAGAGCTGCAACAGAAACTCAGCCATGTCACTCTCTAAAGGGCTCATAAGCAAATTGATCTGTTCATTAAAACCTGTGGTTGCATTAACTCGACTGCAGCATGAAGCGGAGTAGAAGACCAGATTTCTATTTGTGAAACCCACTTAGAAATAATAGCTTTGTTTTTCCAAGCATTTGTAAAAGATACCTTGCAAATCAGAGGAATTTAGTCATGTACTTCTCATTAAAATCAAGTGGACCTATATGACTAAGCCCTCAGTAAACCAACCAAGCTATAAAAAATGCCCTGTACACCCAGAGCAATCTTTCATACTGCAGAAATATTATTGTAAGCCAAATGAGATGTAACAAGCTGCATTGACCGGGACAATTAATAACTCCTGACAAACTATATTCCACCTGGTGTTATCCTTACTTTAATACCTGGTCTTGCAACCAATAATCTGAGGGCTGGAGATGGATGCCAAGTTTCTCTTTCCACCAATTACAGGAACACAGAGATCACAAGGGTAAGTAATTGAACCCAGATGGGCAGGGAAGACCTCTGATTTCAGAAAATGAACCAGATAATGGCCATGTCCTTTTTCAACCAAACAGTTCATGCTCATTTAGCTTGACTTCCCTCAATCTCTCTTTAGCAGCAGATTAACTATTGATTAGATAAACTTGTCCTGGTGTTGAATTTGCACAAAGCCCACATGGTTTTGGGAACACAAGTCTTCAGGTCAGGAAATAAAAGCAGGCATGTGGACTCCTATACTTGCCTGACTGCCCTTGGGCAGAGCTGAAATGTGTCCCCCATCATCCTTCATATTCACAGATCAGAAGATCTACCTGAATGTGATTACAATAGCACTGTACTTGCTAAGAAGACATGAAAGGATTAAACTTCAACAGAAGACTAAGAGTTTTTGTTAATAACCTTGAACTGCTGGTCCAGATGCATTTTTTAGGCAAGTGAATATAATGAAGTCCAGCTAAACCAGGGGATTTTCATAGATTTGTGCCATTGAAGCCTTGTTTTTATTTTACACCAGTTTTACTTTGTCTGTAGGACAAGTTATACACAGCAGTGCAATGGGGAACCTGCACCACTAACAGGGGCCAACCAGTCCAGTACATCTTTGAGATCAGCAGTGCAGCTGAGGATGAGTGCACATTTCTTTGCATGGCCTGCAGCACTGCCTGGACAAGGTTATACACTCTGTAATTTGCCACTAGGTCACTGTAATAAGACCCAGACAAAGGAGGAGCCAAACAAAGGGCTAACACAAGGAAGACTTCTTGGTCTAAGAACAAACCTTTCAGCTGCCTCTACCAGCTATGCCTGGAGCATCTGGAGAGAACACATAAGCCTTAAATTATGTTTGGCATAGCAGTCAATATAAGTAATTTATGGTTTGGCCAAAGTAATTGCAGGTAATAAACTTGTAGAAATTGCTGTATCAGAGAACTATTTCTAAGCAAAAGTATCTAATTCCAAAACAATTTGTCTGAATGAATGTGAGATGATGATTTAAGCGGCCTGGCTATACGGTTCCATTATATTTATTTTGTGCCAAGCACATTTTTCTGGAAAATATAATATTCACAAGAGCATAATTTCAGAGTCCCCAAATTATGTAATTTCAAGGGTTTCTTTTCGCTAGAATTTTGACATTGATTGAATATGCAAATCAAGAGAAAAATCATGTTCTGTGATACCTCAGTCACAGAAAAAAATGCAGTAAAAATGCAAGCCAAAAGGTTTTTTTTTTCCCATATTTGACAGTAAGAAAGAGAGAAAATAACTGATTCTGAATTTTGATTACACTGGACTAGTCATGTTCCAAAAGACATCAGTTTTAATGCAAGGTAGACCATACTACATCACAAGCTGCTCTCTCATGCTCTCCCAAACATCAGCCACGTTTGAACTGTGAACTCAGACCCTGCTCATCAGAACAATTCTGCTTAGAAATGGATTTTGACACTGGGATATGAACAGCAGCTGCAAATGTTTAATCTGCTGCTTCTGGGCCAAGAGAACTTCTCTGTACAAACACTCATCGTGTTAGGGAGTAAGGATGGCTGAGCTGCTGGCAGAACATTTAAACTGAAACACCTCCAGAAGAAGTTTGTCTTTCTTCTTGGATGGATAAACAATGCAGTTCACCCCAAGGGGCATCTTCTTTGGATCTTAAAATAGAAAACAATTTTTTTGTCTTGCCAAATACTTCAGCCAATCTTGTGCTCAATCACTCCATGGCTGAGGGTGATGGCACCAGTTTTGATTTTGACCTTTCCTGAAAGGACCTCTCTGTGCTTTCTTTACTGCTAACTGCAAGCAGAGAGTAAAAAGAAGGGAATCCTGCAGCCAGCAGAGCTGGTCAAGTGCTCTTTGCACAGCTGTGAGAGAAATCCTTTAACCCCAATACAGCAGGAAGCTCCAAAGGAATGTCTTTAGCTCTCGGATATTGAAGTCCCCTCTCTAAGTTCATACGTATGAACTAATCATTTTTCCAGGGTCCATCATTCTCAGCAAGAAGGAACTAGCTTCATACATATTTTTAACTTCTAAGGCCACGTCTTGCTCTTTATTCACATGGTTGCAAATCCTTATTTTTAGCAAGGAAAGCATGACCAAGTGACCCACCAGCTCCACCAGACCTCACTAAACTCCTGTGTACCTAAGCAAATGGCTCTGACCCCTCCACAAAGGAATCCAGGGAGGGGTAAGGAGCATCACTTGCAGGGAAGCATGAATCAGCGAGTAACAATATGTGAATCAGAAAAAACTTTACTTCTCCCTAGTCCCCATCTACAAATCCTTATTTATCTTTGTAACCTGAAAGTCCTTCCAGCCGTTACTCCTTGCTTCTTTGGGAACTGAGTGGGAGGAGACCTCTTTAAGGCCCAGGAGAACACCCAGTGCCCATAATCATCTGTGTCACCCTTTCTTGTCTAAAACATTTGGGTGGGTGTGGGTCACTCTCCCTTATTGACATACAGTTGTGGCAGCTTGCACAGTGTCCTGGATGAAAGAGATGCAGTGAAAAGAAGGAACAACCACCCTGTCACCTCACAGGTAGCTGCTGCCACTGTGAGAGCATGGGAAGGCTGAGGACAGGACGGCCAACGACCCTGTGGAAGGCAAACAAGTTGGTGAGATGGAGTTACTAATTCCAGCTATCTGTCTGAGACCTCACTGGTCAAGGTGAGGCCAACATGAGAGGGAGTCTGGGTTTTCCAACCCTGAGCAGAGGCTGAGGGGTCAGCGGGAAGTCAGGAAGGGCCAAAAACCTATGAGCACCATTCTGAAGGGAGAAAAGTCTGAGAGGATGATGGACACGAAAAACCTCATGTCCCACAAACTGCACCCACCGTTGGGGCACTGGGATGAACAAACCGCAGTGCTGAGCATCACCCCAGCTCTGAGCATCGCCCCAGCTCCCAGCCGGCTGCCGGGACTCACCTTGTGCTGCTTCCACATGGCTCCCAGGGCCTTTACGTCGTGCTTGCTGTGCTTGCCCTCCTCCAAGCACTGGTAGCAGACGGGGCTGCGGCAGCTCACGCAGTACATGCTGTAGTTCTCCAGGTCGTGCTCGGCGCACGTCGGCAGCTTGCGGCCGCCGCCCGCCCCCTTCCCGCCGCCGCCGTCCCCGCCGCCGCCGGGGGCGCCCGGGTGAGCGGGCGGCGGGGCCAGGCGGTGCTTGGCGAAGGGCCCGCGGGCCGGGTGGCAGCGGAGCTGGCATGCGGCGCAGTACAGCACCTCGCACTGCTCGCACAGCACGGCGGCCGGCTCGGGCGGGCTGCGGTCGCACAGCTGGCACTTGGCGGCGGCGGCGGCGGCGGCGCGGCCCTGCTGGTAGCGCTGCACGATGGCCTCCAGCAGCCGGTTGCGCTGGAAGCCGCGGAGCCCGCGCTGGTCCAGGGACGCGCTCCGGTGGCACTGCGGGCAGGTGAGGGAGGAGCTGGCGGGGCCGGCGCCCCGCGGAGCCGCCGCCGCCCCCGGGGGCGCGGGCACCAGCGGCAGCACCCGCACGCCATTGGGGGACTTGAGGCTGGGGGTGTAGGAGCCGTAGCCGCTGTCGGTCTCGCTGTGCAGGCTCAGCTTGTCCGCGTGGTCCCCGCCGCCGCCGCCCGCCGCGCTCTCCGAGTCCGGGCAGGCGGCGGAGCCCGCGGCCGCTCCCGGCCCCGCTCCCGGCGCGGCGGCGGGCGGCGCGGGGCCCCGAGAGTGGAGCAGGGGCGGCAGGTGCTGCTCGCTCTCCGGGGTCTGCACGGCGATGGTGCGGGCGCAGGGCAGGCAGACATTGTGCGAGCAGGGCAGGATGATGGGCTCCCGGAACAGCGAGCCGCACACCGGGCACTTCAGCTCCTCTTCCATGGCCGCGGCGCGGCTTTGTGCGGGGGCTCCTCAGGCGGGCGGCGCGGGGTCGCCGCCGGCTCCCCCCATCCCCCGCGGCGCCCCCTCCGCCGCCTCCCTCCGCTCCGGGCGCCGGGGCGAGGCCGGGAGGGCTCCGGGCGCCGCCGCCGCCCCGCGCGGTTCAGCACCCGCCGCGCAGACAGCTCCGCACGGCCGGGCCAGCGCCGCGCCGCGGGAGCCGCCCGGCGGCCGCGGGCTGCTCGGGCCGGGGAAAGGCTGCCCGCCGGGACTGTGGTAACGCTGGTGGTGGCATAGAGTAATAATATATGGGGAAGGGAGGCGGGGGGCGGAGGCAGGGCAGGAGTAGGAAGGGGCGGGAAGAGCCCTTTCCAGCAAATAAAGTGGTCGCTCTCTCTACGGCTGGGAAAGGCTAAAACATTATTTAAAGGATCTCTACACAGAGATGTCTTCATATGTTTAAATAAAGCCATTGTTTGGGTAGCAGATTGAACGCAGGCGGGGTTTCGTTATCTCTAGTAGCCCTCTTTCCCGTCCCCGAATTAAAGGAGGATGCTCACCAACAAACTAAGCTCGTGCCTCTCCTTCACACGGCTCTCACCATGCTGGAGCACGACCAAGATACACAAAATGTCAGGCATTGACAGAGGGAGGGATGAGAAAGGGGTTAAAAGGGAAGAACGAACCCCGGCTACGAGCGCTGTGGCTGGCAGGGGCGGCAGAGCGCAGCGAGCAGGGGACGTGCCACATCGCCCGAGCTCCCAGCCCTGTGACCCCAACAGGAATGTGCTGCGAAGATAAATCAGAAATGACAGCTGAGGGTTTATGAACTGAAAATAACCATCCTTAGAAGAAAGAAACCAGCAGCGGGAAATCCCCCATCTGTTTTGTTTACATGTGCTTAGCGTGGATGTAGCAGTGGTTTATTTCATAGTGAAGAGACTATATGTAAGAGTGATTTCACTGATTGTTATTATTGTTATTCGTCAATCTTGTTTAACATCCACTACCATATTAAGCTCAATTCTATAATTAGATACTAATTTTTTGGGGTTTTTTAAATGCAAACTGGTCTTTTCAGAACAGCTGTTTAAAAAATGAGGAACTGAGTGGTATTGAATGAAAAGAAATAAAAAAAATATCAAAAGAGATAACATATTAAAACATCATAAAATTTCTCAGTAAATGACAAGGGTTTTCGTGACACTGGTTAGGAAAGGGTTTTCTAGTTTCAGGGTTTGCTTTTGCCAGACTGTTAAAATGGTTGATGTACAGAAAAGGAGGAATGGGGTCAGAGAGTAGGAATATATTAAAGCTTCAAATTTTTTTCAGTCTTTCCTCTCTGGAGTTCCTTTGTGTATCTTGCCCAGCCACTCTCATGACAAGCTGAGAGGAAAAAATCCCCAAGGGGTTTAAAGTTTTGTAGTTCCCCATTTCAGGGTGAAAAGCAGCAAGTTTGGTGTCTGGCACATAGTAGAAACAGCCATGACCCACATAAACCTGCCTGTCATCCGGCTAGGAATCTTCTTCTTTATGTGACCTCTGTGCTGAGACTGAGCGTTTCTAGACTGTGTGTTTGGGCTACCTCCAGCCAGAAACCTCAATACTGCAAGAAGTGTTCTGAAACACCACTGATTTCACAGCTACCTTATGCTACTACATAGTAAGAAAAACCCGTGGGTGAAATACTGTTATCTTCATAGTGGCTGTTCTCTGCTCTACCATCTGTCAGCAGCAGGAGTGGATGTACTTTTAAGATTTCTTGCAGACCTATAGGGGAATCCAAGTAATAAATTTCAAGTCTATGTTGAAAGCCATAATCCTAAAGGTAATTATGAAGGCATGGTAGCTTTTTCATGGACCTTTGACTTCTTTCTCTACCTGTCCTGTGTGGAAGCTGGCAGTGATCATAACATGCATATAGTAGCATCAGGTCTGAGACATCAGAGAAAAAAGAACACACAGGAAAATGGTGGAAATATAAAGTATGAACACCAAACCTGACCAGCTACCTTTTATAGCTGCTTTTTAGCTGGGGATTGCAATTTCCAGAGTTCTAATACACTGAATTTTACATATCCATTTCCAATCCTACTCTAGAGTTTATTTTAAATCCTAGAATCGTTGGCACTTGACACAGGAAATGGCAAGAAAGAAACCATCTCAGAAGCACATTCTCTTTCAAACACAACTTTTCTTCTCTCCCCAGACCTGACTTCACCTGAGACCATATCACTATAGTAGGTGACATTTGAAATGGAGATTGAAAAGGTGATCTGTTCTTCTCTGTTCTGTGGTGTGACTTTTACATCATTCAGGGTCTTTTTTAACCTGCTGAGTGAGTCTGAAATGCTAATGCCCAAGAGAGGTATGGCTTTGAGACCAGGCAGAGCTACACTTGTTTACCTGTCCTACTGGTCCCAGAACAGCCCTTGTTGCCAAGGAGTTGTAAAGTTTCAGTGCAGAAACCTTCATCCCTATGGCACCAGAGACTGCTGCTGGAAGTAACACCAACACCTACCTTAACAATATTCAGTGCTCTGATGAGTTTAGGTTGCACAGGACAGATTCTTCTCCTTATATAAAGTATTTCTCTATATAACTGTGCTTCTGCTGATGGAAGTGAACAGTTAAAATATCACTGTAACCCATACTATGCCAGGGGTCAGAATGGAAACTGGTCTAAGAGTTGAAAAATGTCACTGAGCTTGAGCAGACTGACCTTGGAAATCCTTATTCTTGATGAGGAACAGATCCCACCAAGATGATTCCACTAATTTTAGTTGAATGATTCAGAAAGAAGTATTTGGTCTGAGCCTGAAATACTTGAGCCTTTACTATGTTTTGTAATCAAGGTATTATTATAATGGTTATGATCCCTATCATTTTTCATCTTTTTATGTTCAAACAAATCTTTAATCTGTTAGAGCTGTAGCAGTGTATGGATAACCTAGAGACCCTACACTGGCAGTCCTAGCTTTGATCTTCATTTTAATACTTCAGTATCACTAGTATCATCCCCTTAGACTATTAACCTTTGTAAGAACTTATTAGCATCTTTTATATCCTTCCAATGGAAAAAAAAAAAAGCCAATGAGGTTTATTTATAGATTTACGTTAAAAAAAAAAATAGAAGGCAAGTTGTGGTACAACCTTGCAGAAAGGAGAGATTTGATTAATCTTTCCTCTCTAGCTTTATTTCTTATGTCTTTTCATTCTGCTTGTTGTGACATTTTTGTTGACTTTTCCTTCCTTTTCTTGTATTTTTTATATTTTATATTGCCCTCACATATTAACCCATTTTCTGATCCTTTTCCTTCTTTATTTTCTCATTTTTTTCCTTCAACAGCTGTCCACCAAGGTCACTTCACTTTATTCAGTTTTCTTCTTTTACCACTGCTGTTTCTCCATGGGGAATTTTTTGATTCCAGTATTCCAACATCGCTTCCACTAATGGGCATCACTCCAAGCGCACATTCTCTCATCTGAAGGGCAACAGGGAAAAAAAAGGATCTTATCTCCACAGGTTCTTATTCTATTGCAAGGAGGAGAACAGAGAAATAGTTCACAAGAGCAGAGAAGATGAAATGCGCCTGGGCTAAAGCCAGCAGTTTGTGTGGTAGTGTGAGCTGAAGAGTTCCACTGCCTTGTTAAAAACGCGGGGTGCTCAATTATCAGCAGGGGATGCCCTCAGCAACCACAGTGGACAACACAGCTGCACCTGCTGCCCATCTCTGAATTTTAGGCTGGATACTAAGCAGTGGCTGCACACCCCCCACACCTCAGCATTGCTCCTATGCATAATAAAAAAACAGAGCACAATGTAATCTCTCCTGTCTGCTTATTCTTCATCATGTTCTTTACCTAGACTCTTCTTCCCAACACTACCAGCTCCACTTGGGGCTGACACTGCATGTTCTGTTTGCAGGGTGATGCGGCAAAGAGGCATAGGAAGGCAGACTGCCACTGTGGCTTAGAGGAAAAACTGATCTATATGGCCCATGGATCAGGGAGATTTGGAAATGGCAGCTGTGCTCCTTGGGTTTGCAGATTTGCATTAGGTATATTATGTAGGTGTAAGTGTTTTGAAATTGATTTTGTTTGGTGCTGCTTTTGTTGGGGTTTTTTTGAGCATGCATTTAAGTAGCTATTATGTTATTTAGGGTTTTCAAATATTTTCACATTGATCTGCCCATGAAAGGAGGGATGGCAAAGCTTGGCAGCAGCCCAGAACAGTGCCACAGCAGCATGGCCACTGATAAAAAGCTTATCTGTTGGCTAGCAGAAGACTGTATCTGTAATAGAAATGCAGCTACATATTGAATTTTCTCTGTCAGGCGAGTAAATCTGCCATGAAGAATGTAAATCACAGCTGAGGACATCTCCATACAATGGAATTTTATTCAGAATGTCTGCTAAGTATATGTTTGTTATAATGCTTAAATGGCAAAAAATGGTGCTTCATCCTAAATATTGCTCAACAAATACTCACAATTCTAAGTCTGCTTCAGCCATACAAGAATGAAATTCAATACAAAGAAAAATAGTGCTTTAAACATATATGCCAACAAAAAGTGGAGGTTGGCGCACTCAAATCTCAGTAACAGGCCAGTTTCAATACTTCTTAACAAATTCATATTTAAAAGAAAGCACAAAGAAAGCACAAAAGGCACTAACCTATAATCAGGACTCTTGAAAAACAAGAGCTCATATTTCTGTGATGCTGTAAAAATACATCAGCCTGCAAGACTTTGGAATTACTCCAGGGACATCTTGGCTTTCCTGCTGTGCCAGGAATCCTCTCTTTCTTGCTGCTTTTGTGCAGTGGAGTGAGATACTTGTCCTTCAATGCTACAGTTCAACTTGCAAGCAGCATCCTCAGGGGTGCTTGCTCTTTTGAGAGGTGAGAGGACAAGGACACCGGACCCTGAGCAGCTGCGTGTGAGGGACAGCAAGGAATGGGGCCCTGCTGTGGACGCATTTCAGATCACCAAAGAGTTAACATCCACACAGCGTGATTGTTAGAGTTCATGTCACATCTGCTGCCTTTTTAGAAAGTAACTGTAAACTTCTCCTAGAGATGAGTTGGTTTCAATGGCATTACAGCAGAGACAGGGTTAGGGTTCCTCATTTGTTCCCTAAGCCAGTTTGAGGAGAGAGGGTTGTAGGAAGCTGTTCTGAGCATGGGTTTGCAGTCTACCTCAACCCTCTGCACATGTCCTGACATGGTTCCCTGCTCCCTCAGCTGTCCCTATGGTCATTCTGATCATGCCTCTAAAGAAAAGTGTACACAGCACTTTAAGAAAGTCAAGGATTATATAAAATCCAAACCCATCCCAATATCCTCTTTTGGCAGGAAGGCTGGAAGCAGGAAGGAAAAAGTTGTGGCATCCCAAGCATTGGGGCGTGGGAGGGAGTAGACGAGGGACAAACACCCCCACAAATGAAACAAGGGACAAGTAATCTCTACATTGAAGCACCGGTGTTTCCTAAGAGCAAAAGAAGGGCTGAAGGAAAACATATTTGGAAAAGAATCCAGGCTGGGTTAGGCACTTGTATATACAGCTGTAAAGTGGAGGTAAATTGCCACCATGTGGCAATCTCTTCTCATGTAAAGAAAACACTTACACAAAGGGAGTAGGGCAGTTTGGTCCCTGAAAGGGTGGGCAGTGTTCTGTGAACTGGGCTAGGGAACTAATCCAAGTGTGACTCACTGAGAAAGGCTTCTTCTCAAGAAGGGTGGGCTAAGTAGCTTTTCTCCTTTACTAAATGTAAGAGAAAACAAAAAGTGCTATCCTTGTTTAGCAAGAGACAGCTAACGAGGAAATCTCCCTGAGCAATGAAGAATCTATAAATACCCTGAGAGATGGGCTTTGCTCTTCTATTCTGCAAGTAGCTCAAGTGAGCCCTGAACGTGTATTTGAAAGAACGAGAGACCTGTCAAACCTGCCTTCACTGTAGGTACTGGGACAATATCTACATGGAGTTCTACAGGGTTTGACCAAAGCCTCCCCTATGTACTGCAATGCCATGCAGGAGCATCACAAATGGGGAGCCTTGAAAGCTGCATTGAGAAATGAGGGGTAGGAGCCAAGAAAAATGTAGATTATAAGTGTGAGTGGGGCCAGATTGACAGTTTGCAGAAACAGAGGCTTCCTTGTGCTTCCCCTTCTCTTTTCAGCTTTGTTTCTGATAAGTAAACAAGAACTCCCACATTGCTAGGTACGAGAGAATCAAGACAGGAGAGGCCTCTAATGTGCACAGGGACTCGGGTCCTGCCAGTTGGGGATGAGATGAGCACTGTAATCCGGCATAAATCTGTGTCACCACTGTACAGGAAGGTTCTTTCTGACACCACCCCCAGCTGCCCGTTCTCATCACCTCCCCTGCACTTACAGCAGCTTTCAGAGAGCCACAAGCATTATTCCAGACCAGGACAATTAGCTTTCAGCATCAGCATCTTGATTCAGAGGTGCCTGTGCCTACACAAGGACAGGAGTGAGGAGGAATGGCCCTTGCAGCACCACTGAGATCCATAAAGCCATGTCTGTGGTCTGAGACATCAGCATCAGTCAAGTGGGGAGGCAAGTCCACTAGATGCCAAGCTTTTTTCATCAACACACCTCACCTACATGAGATCTATGCATCCTTCTCTTCAGCAGCCCATTGAGCTGCCCAGTAGGAGGGAGCAAACAGACGTCAGCCAAATCAATCACACTCACACCAGCAATGCATTCTTTAACTTCATTTAGTATTACATTTCCCGATTTGAAAAACACCTTCATTCTGCTTTTGTCCTCTCTTTCCCTTTGCTAAATTTTCCTTTTATCTATGACAGCATCTTTGAACACTCTTATATAAGCACAGAGATTCTGCTTCCCTCTTCCTTATGTTGCTTTCCCTTGCTACTCTTCACTACTCCTTGATGCAGAGAAACTCCCACGATCCTTCACCTTCCCCTCCTGACTCCTTTGCAGCCTTTCTGCCTTTCTCCCACTGCTTGTCTCACAAACAGAGGCCTCCTCCTTCCAAAGCTCTGCTTGTTCCCCACTTCACACCGAATCCAGCCCTGTCTGGGGGTCAGCCCCATGGACATGAAGAACATGAATCCTACAAAGAGGTGGGGTTTATCCCATCACTCCTCTGTACCGGCTATGGGCAGAAACCCTTATTCAAGAGTAGGAAGATGTGTCTGTCTGTCCCTTGGGCACAAAGGGTTGTCCTTTTCCTGCCCTCACTGCAGAAGGACCAGCCTGCTGATTGGGCATGATGCTGACCAGGAGGTTTTCTTTGTCACGTCACTGTGATACAAGTGGCAGAGGATCCTCCCTGGGGAGAGCCCCTTACATAAGAGATTTTATTTGTCAGTGTGCATTGCCAAATGCCAGCCCAAAACGGAAGCACAGGAGAGAGGTTTGTGTAAAGATAAAGAAAGCAGCATCACTCAACACCTGTGCAGCTCCAGCAATCTGTGTCAGAGGGAAGCTGTCACCATTTAGCCTACTGAGAAATTCTAATGTAGAAGAAATGCAAGACCCTCTCTGGTCTGGAATCAAGAGGTAATCAAATCTCAAAAGAGAACTATGAATCCCACAGACACACCAGGCAGTCTGGTCCATCATATTCTAATTCTTATTTACATCAAACTGCACCATTTCCTCCACTGATTTCAAGTGCTTGAGCTTCTTTTTTATCATAGCCTGTACATAACATGAAGCATGCACAGAATCAAGTATAAACACCAGCTAGTTCCTCTATATGCTTCTGCTATTGTCCTGTAGAAATGGCTAATACACTTTCAGGCCTCCTGTTCATTCCACAAACTTCATGATTTTCCAGTACACATCACATGGGAAACCAGAATTCCATAAATTGCACTCCTCAAAAAAAAAAACCCCAAACCATTACCAATCTGATTTCAATTTTCTTCTTGTACTTGCTTTGATACCCACTAAGATAAATGAAATGGCAATATTTGTGAAATACCCAATCTACTGCATGTGTATTTAAAATCAAATCTGTCAGCATATTACCCCAGCTGTAGAGATTAGTCAGAATCTCCCTCCTCAACTTTTCCCTCCTAAGTCTCTTGCTGGGCTCTTGTTTCCTATGAGTTGATTCCACTTTTAATTTTATGTTTCCATCAATAGAGAAGAGTAAAACAGCTGGAGGGAACAGATAAGGGACTTAGTCCACTACCACCATCATCCAACTCCAAATTGGATTGACTGGCTGAGTGCCCCCAAATCCTCCATGGATACTCAATTTAATAGAAAGAAAAAGACTCCCCACACAAAGAAAAATATGCAGAAAATAATAAGACCACTTTATGAAACATAATAGTTTCAGCAATGTGCATATGATTATATCCCTAATTCAAATGAAATGCAACAGACAATCCTTTTATGTTAACCATGGAAAAAAGAAACACAGCTGATGATTTAATTTGTCCTTTTACTAAATGATTTAATTTTAGCAAGCTGTTATCCAATGAAGAACATTAAAAAGGGCCATATCGCATCAGCCTAACAATTTCTGGTCCACCTTATCTGTGACAGCAGCCAATAAAGGGAACGGGGAAGTGCAAAAAAAAACAGATGGAAAAAAATGCTAAGGAGAATTTGAGGAAGATGAAAAATAGGATAAAGCAGGTGGAGGAACTAAAATAATTCCCTTAGTTAGACTGAGGCTTTACTCCCATGGATGAGCACACATGGATTTCTAGAGAGGCAGCTCCAAGCAGGATCAGTGCTCACAGGGAGCAGTGCTCTGGGCTGTGCATGACTGGTCCCTTACCTGATGGCAGCATTAGAGATCAGCTGTCCTGCCTGCACAGACAGAGCCTCAGGGATTTGGCCAAACATTAATTTTTAATTTGTTTTTCCTTTTAACTTGACATAGTGCCCCTAAGATTCAACCAGTTTTAACTCCAAACTGACATTATATATCTTCAAAGCATGAGTTGGCATCTTCTGTAATTGCTCACTTAATGGGAAAATTAGGATTGTAATAGTCCTACCAAACTCCTTTGTCTCAAACCAGGCAGAACTCTGCCCTAGTGCTATTTTGTGCTGGCCCCATCTCTCCCTCTCACTAGCCTCCTTTAAATTATTCCATTTGGCTTCACGACTTGCCTTCCCTTGATCTCCTAATAGGATGGTGAACCCCTGACCTCTTTCCAGGAACTCTGCTTGAAACCCAACCTTTCCAGACTGCCAAACTTCCATTTGCTCCTCACTTCTTCCTGCTGTGCCATCAGTCTCATCAGCCTCTTTCTAAAAATTGAGATTTTGATTTTCTTTCATTTTTTTTTTCTGCTAGGAAAACTCAGCGTAGCCTATTCGCTGCTCAATCACCACAGTAGTTGCTGAGTAACAAAGAATCAGTGGAACATCACAGCATTTGTAGCGGCTCATTTAACAGCACCACAAATGTTTTGTACAAGGAGAGCACCGTGATTTCTATTTGTTCCTGATATTTGGAATATCTCCAGCTCAAATGCTGCTGCGTTTGGATTTTTTTTTTTTTTTTTTTTTTCTGATTTGGTAGAACAGAGTCTCCATTCATTATATGTGCACAACACAGGTTCCCAAGCAAGAAATGGAGGGTGGGATTGATTCCACGTAGAGACCGTGGCTCGTCCCTCCATGGGGCAGGTGCCTTTGGCTGCAGGGACCTGCTGCCCACTGCCCTGCTGTGCCCAAGCTGCCCCAGCAGCTAGCAAGGTTACCCCTGACATCCCCCTTCAAGGTGGGTCAAGCTGGCTCCAGGTGGGAAATGCTGCCTGCAGGGACTTGGCCGCCTGAATTACAGCAGCACCCGCAGTGGGGGCTGGAGAGGTACTGCAGATGTCAGCACTGGAGGAGAAGGGGTGCGAGCATCATTCCTTGGGCAAAAGGCCAGGTTGCACAACAGGTCCCCAGCCCCACTCACTGCCCTACCTGCTTCTGGGTGTCAGGCTATTTCTGGCCTTGCTGGCAGCCCTCTCAGTTCCTACAATGGCTGCGGGTAGCGATGTTAGCTGACATTCAGTTGTAATTGGCCCTCATCCCCAAGGACACAGAGCAGAAATAAGGAAGGCTATGCTATAAATGTACTGAAATAGGCCACACACCCTTGTCTGGAGGGCCCTTCATCTCTCCTGCCACCGTCTTGCCCAGGGGACAAATGAGACTGCAGGTTCTCCGTGGTGCCTGTCCCAGGCACATGGCCAGGAGCAGCCTTCCCCCTGCACTGGAGATGGTCCAGCACTGGTCACACTGTGGGCACTGATCCTCTCTATGGCCTCTGGTGTCTTGAGGAACATTCCCCTGGTCCTCCACATCATCTCAGTAACTCCCTAATACCAGCTGGATCACTTTGGGGATTGCTGTGCAGGGCAGTGGGTTCGACCATTTCTTCAGTGGAAGCCATCATTACCAATATTCTAATCTGAGGTGCAAGGGCCTGTGACAAACACCCCCTGCTCAGGCAAAAGGCTGGACATTCTAAGCTTAAAACCGGGTGATACACAGGTTGGCTTGTTGGTAATGACATCATCAGTGACATCATTATTTGAGACAACAGAGGTCTCAAAAGAGGAGTAGAATGTTTTATCATACATGTAAATTTCTTGTGTGGGTATATTTACATAAGATATACCTGTTGATCATCTCTGAGTAATTACAGGGGACTTTTCTGTATTACCATCACAACCCAGATAGGGTGTATGGGAATTAGGGGTGAATGAGGTCTGCAGGAATTCTAGAAGGGGCTTCTGAGGTGACCCCAGTGAGATAAGAAAGACACTCACCTTCTGCCTGCCTCTTCCTCTTTAATATTTAAAATTTCAAATAGTTTTACTTAGTCATTAGTCAGTCCACTAATAATAATTACAATGACAATCGCAACATCACTGTAAGCCATAAACAGTGGGTTTATGATGTTCTAAGACACTCCATTAGTTGAATGGTATTATAAAAAACGTTCAAATTTTTTCTGCATTTTTTAAAATTGTACATGTCTCTGTAAAAAGTAAAGACAGTATGCTTTGAATCTGTAATATAAAAAAAACAGCTGCCTTGACCTTCCAGCAGCACAAATACAGCACAACAAACTGTATACATATACACCCCAACCTCAGTCTGCAAAGCTGTTAACAAATACCTATTTTACATTTAGTCACTAACTGCTGTTCAAGGTTTCTCTCTAGATGCCCAGGGACAGGCTAAACATCACTTTGATTACAGAGTGGTGCATATCCCCGTATTTTGAGCTAGCAAAAGTAGTTCCTCTGATAGCTAAAGAAACAGCCAGTGGTGATTAAAACAAGAAAATGTCCTGGGGAAGTGTTTGAAGTGAACTGCAGGCCCTGATCAAAGCACAGGTATTGTAAGCACACAAGGCTAGCAGGAAGAAATCCTGTGTTTTATTAGACCAGCACACACTACTAGAGAAAATGGGAAACTTTTCATACAAGAGCCTTTCTTCAGCTCTGTCATTTGGTGTAATAAAAGGTGTTGTGTTTTCCTACCTATGTTGTCTCTCTTCTGTTCACAGACCACTGCTGAGCCAGTACTCCTGCTGCTATAGCAGAGGAAAGTCTTGCTGGCAGACATGATTGATGCCACACAGTCCCACACTTTAGGGGAATAATCTCAGAGTTAATCATTCCACTAGAGAAATGCAACGAGAATTTATCTGAATTATTGAAAAAGAGCTCTTTCAGAGAAAAAAGAAACGAGCAGCTGAAAGATATATTTGTCAAAACCCAACAATTCCATTGCAACAATAGCAAAAATCTATTTTCAACATGATTCAGGTTGCCACAGAGCAAAGCTGTCTATAGTCTCTGTCTTCTACAATTGTTCTCTAGCTTTGTTCAACTTTATTCCAGTGGCTTCAGATACTTGTTTCTTAATCTGTAGCTATGCACCCCTCTGCCCTACCTGTTTGTCTGTTTGCCAAACTGAGGCAATAAGAGCTCTTCTGGCACTTTCTCTCAAGAGCTGTGAGATTGACAAGAAGCACATCTGACAGCAAGTAGGAAGCTGAGAGGAGCCCTCTCCAGCTCACATTTGCAAGGGGTTCATTGCTTCTCAGCTTTTCCTCCTCTCTCAGCAGCAGCTTTCTCCATCCTGAGGCCTTGCAATCTCTGCAGGGAAGGAGGCTGAACTGCTGATAAGAGCCTGAGCCACGTGACATGGCAGAGGGACAACAGTGAGATGGGAAGAAGAAGAGAAAGGTGATTAACTAGGATGAGAATTCCTGCAAAGGCAGTGTTTGACATTGAGGTAGGCAACAACTTGAAGAAGAGCAAGCCTCAAGTTCACGTTTTGGCTACAGAAGGACATGAAACAGATTTTGGGATTGGAATTAATTTCTCTTGAACAGATAGCTGGATGCCCTAGAAGGCCGTGGGATAAGACTGAACAGGGGGAGACAGGCACTAGTCCTGGGAGGTGTGTGGCTCTTCAGTACGTAGCTTGTTGAAACCACCTCCCCTTCAGTGGGCTGTGTGAGAGGTTCATTCGCGGGAAAAAGAAGACAAGGCCAAGAAGGACAAAATGTTAATCCAAGCCTTTATTTTTTTTTTTTGCCACTAAACTGAATTCATTAGTGAAAAATTTTGATTGAAGGTAATGCTGATACATGCTCCAGCTGTAGATCTGCCAGTTTGCTTCCAAGCTGTCTGTGATCAGAGAAACATTTTCCCCATCCAGCTCTGCTGCCAAACAGGCAGGCAAGCAGGAGTGACACAGGGTGGCCGACTAATTTCCAAATGTCAAAGTTTGCCTTTAACTGTCTCCCTCCTCCCCACAATTTTAGAGAGGTAGAACTACCTGTTTGTAATTGCTGTGCCTTGGACAAAAGAACTGTTATTGCTCTTGGCACACTGGCTACCAGTGCTGACCACTGCTCCTGAAGTCTCATCACACAGTAATCCCTAAGGAATGCATCTTCATCTGTTTCTTCAGGGGATGTTTTTTCTCACTCTGTGCAATATTTTGTGAGCAAAATACTACTGTGAATTCCTGAGTAAATGTCACTTGCACTTTCCTTGTCAATGAAGAGCAAGTTCTTGCTACAGATCCTGGCTTTGTAGCATGTACCTGTTTATTCCTCTTACAGGCAGACACAGCACCCTGTGTACAAGACTCTCTCCAGAGAGCAGGTAAATAGTTTAACAATAACACATCACCAAATGTATTTCCTCTCAGCCCAGAGGCAGAAGAGACAGTATTTCCCCAAATAAACACAGTACTCATCTATCCAGTCCTTCCATATTCCTGCAGACAAACACCTGGGGAAAGAGATGAAATTGTAACCTTTCCCTGAAAGCCACTGAAAGTCCTTTCCTGTCTAGGACATGGCACAGTGGAGGTCTTCACTGGAAATATTGCAGACATCTGTGACACATTACACCAAGACCATGGTCTGTAAACCCCCAAAAGCTCTTAATGAAAGATTGAACTCTGCAGCAGTCAAAAATCAAATGCTGAGATATGTGCTGAAGAAAACAAGAAACCTCTCCAACAGCTGAGAATCGGAGTGGCAGCAATGTCCATCAGCTAGTGCCCATCATCAGCTCACGCTGCAGACTGCGAGATGCGTGAGATGCAGCTGTGTTCTGCTGAGGCTGTAACGCCTCTGGAAACTCTCAGAGTGATGTAAAATTGGATAACCCCATCTGTAAGTCACATCACAATATAAGAAAGATATTAAGCTGCTAGAGAGTGCCCAAGGGAGGGCTACAAAGATGGTGAAGAACCTTGAGGGGAAGCTGTATGAGGAGTGGCTGAGGACACTTTGTTCAGCCTGGAGAAAAGGAGACTGAGGGGAGAGCTCATTGCAGTTACAGCTCCCTTGTGAGGAGGAGAGGAGGGGCAGACACTGATCTCTTCTCTGTGGTGACAGTGACAGGACATGAGGGAATGGCCTGAAGCTGAGTCAGGGGAGGTTTAGGTTGGATATTAGGAAAATGTTCTTCACCCAGAGGGTGGTTGGGCACTGGAACAGGCTCCCCAGGGAAGTGGTCACAGCACCAACCTGACAGAGTTCAAGAAGCATTTAGACAACACTCTCAGGCACAGGGTGTGACTCTTGGGGTGTCCCGTGCAGGGCTGGGATTTGGACTCAATCATCCTTGTGGATTCCTTCCAACCTGGCATATTTGTGATTCTGTGATATATATCCATAAACATAGAAAAGTTATGTGGAAAGGTGCAAAGAAACATGTGAATGGAAAAATAAGAGCTCTTAACTCCATGCATTAATAGAAGCTTGAGAAAAAACAGAGGAAGGAGAGCCCCCTCTCCCCTACATGCATTTCAGCATAAATGTTCTTCTTTTTCTCTTTTCTCACTTTGTTTGGTTTCTCCTTTCACTATGCTGACAATTTTACTTACTGTTTTAAGGGTGTTATTTTTCTCCACACGGTTTCCAGAAAACATTTATTTCCTTTTGCCACATCTTTCTTTTATTTCGTTATTGTCTCACTGGTTACATGCTTCACCATACCACTGGAGCAGTGTCCTCCAAATACACACTTCAAATTTGCCTATTCCTCCTCATTATTTTTGCTCCAGCAAAAGGCCCAATGACCTTTAAACTGAGCTCCTCCTTCCCTGCTGAGAACCTGACCTCAAAAGAAGCTTTTCTTCTCTCTTTACTTCTTTCTTATTTCATTGCTTCTTTTTCAATGTCATTGTCTCTCTTTTCCACAACCAAAACAACACCCTCAAAGCTGCCTGTGTTTATCATTTTCCAACATCTCTGTCATTGAATTTCCCATAAGGAACCCTGCAAAAATCATGAGACCCATAGAAACCCCTGCCACAGTGATGAAAAATGGATTTGCTCTACCTGTGCTGAGAGTGGGAGCATAATTCAGCCTCTCACATCAATTGAGAACTCTGCTGCTCACGTGGTCTTTTGCAAAGACAGTAAACCAAGCACAGGCTCCTGTAGAGAAAATAAAAGCTGGAAGGGCTTCCCTGGTGCTTCACACTATACTAAAGCTTCAAAAAGGTAGGAAAAAATACATTCGACCTTTGCAAGACAAGGAAGCACAGCAAAATGCTGCAGAATGATTCTTTTAAAAGAGTTTGAGAAATGTGAAGGAAATAGACAATGCTGGGTTAAGATGCAAATGTGATACAGAGCAGAGTGGTATAAAACATAGGAAACTTCAAGAAAAAAGAAGGGGACTGGGAGGAATTGAAGCCAGTGAATTCAAAATTAACCCAAATGTTGCATATATGGAAAATCACAACCAAGTTGGATTAGAAAGGCTTAAATCTGTCTCAACACCTTGCAGCTCCAGGTTCTCTAACAGGGTTTGTCCCTGGACTACAAAGACTTTGACAACTTAAACTCTCTGTAGCTTTATTAGTTCTTTGGCCCATTTTGCTGTCATCCTAAACTAGGTCTAGCACAATTTAAGTTGCAGAGGACGTACATAAGGGAATATTCTTGCACACAGGGCTGTAGTCTTTTGAAAATTGTAAAAGCTTAAAGTAGTTAGCAATTTCCCAACCACTGACATCAATAAATTATATGAGGAAAGAAGGCTGAAGGAACTGAAGTGAACTGAATCCCTGAATGAAGTACAAGAAAAAGAGAACAGGCACTTCTGTTGGATTATCAGAGCAAGGGCAGGAGAAAATCTGATCTTCTCATGGCTCTTTGGGCAGGTTATGAGGTACAGACATGGCTTGCTCTGAGGCAAGTGTACTAAACTAAAGATTTGAGCTCTTCCTGCTGCTTGTTCATGAGGCACCATGAATGAGCAGCACCTCTGGTTGGATCATGAATGTGTCCCTCTTTCACTGAATAGCTGACCTGGTACTTAAAAACCTGTGACACCACCACTGACATTTATGTATGTAATTAATTTCACAATAACAAATTTTCCAGGTGAAGCTTTTGCTCAAAACCAGTGGATTCTGTTACAACTGTCTTAAGATGGAGCCTGTTTTCTCTAATGGTTCATTAAAAACAGTCAGTTCTAACTTGATTTTTGCATTGTTTTTATATAACCATTTGCTTCTACACCAGAGAACAGATGATGCCAGCTAAACCCAAATTCATGACCTCAGTGATTACAGTGAGGTTGAATTAAGTGATGCATTTAGCCTAGCTTGGTAGTATTCTGTTCCTTCTGTTTCGGATAAATTTACCAGTGATGATCATGGAGTTTTAATAAACTGAAGAGGTTTAATTTCTTCATAGAGTTGTGAGCTTCCTACCTGGTAAGCATAAAAAAAGACTTATTAATGTCATTATTTTTAATCACCTTTTAACCTATGTTGTTCTTGTTTATATCCCACTTATTTGATTTTTTATTGATCTCCTCTCTTTTATGCCTAAATACCAGTAGAAATGAAGCAATGTGTGATGGCTGAGAAAAATTACCATACAAGCAATATTTAAAAGAGTGTAGTTGTACGGTGCCCCCAGTGTAAATTTGGAGGAGGGGAAGAGCCGGGGGAAAATTGTTTGTACAGGCTAGGCTGCCTCTGTCATTCAAG